AGGAGAAACATGCTTTTAAAAAGGACATTATTAGACCACTTGACAAAACTGGAATACAGCTGAAAGATTTGATAAAAGTGCTGTATCAGTATAATTTACTGAAATTGATAACTGTGCTATGGTTATATAAAATAATATCCCTATTCTTAGGAAATGTTCACTGAAATTTAAAGGGTAAAGGGCATGAGTTTATAACTTACTTTCAAATGATCCAGAAAAAAATGCTGTTTCCAAACAAAAGCTGAAAATAATACCTGAGACCTTCCTGACTTAATTGCTTAGAGAGGGGTCCAGATATTCTAATTTTTTTAAGCTTCCAGATTAAGAACTACCTAGAGCAGTGTTCTCAAGTATGGTTCTCAGACCAGTAGTATCAACATCACTTGGGAACTTGTTCTACTGAATCAAAACCTCTGGAATGGGCCAGCAACCTGTGTTTTATTATTATTATTTATTTATTTTGGCATATTATGGGGGTACAGATTTTAGGTTTCAATAAATGCCCTTTCCCTCTCCCCACAAGTCTGAGTTTCCAGCATGACCATCCCCAGATGGTGCACATCTCACTCATTACGTATGTATTACCCGCCCCCAGCAACCTGTGTTTTAAAATACCCTCCAAGTGAATTCTGATGCCACTCAAGTTTGACACCACTGGCCTTGACTATTTCTAGCTCCTATATGCCCAACAAACCTAACAAATGCTTTGTGCATACTCATATTTCAATAAATGCTGCTGGATTTGGTTTGACAGTGAATGATAAGGCAGAAATGACCACTGAGGCATTTGTAAGACAATAAACTATCCTAGAGGCCCAGCTAACACATCACTTGAGCTTATAAAGTGAACAGAAAACTTATTTTGAAAATAATAAAGGAAGTCAGATACTCAGGAGGTTAGTAAAAGCACTACTATCCCCAAAAGGGACACATCTGCTTATAGTTTGTTAAGTCACCATCAACTGAAAATATACAAAAATTTATGCAAGCCCTTAGACTGACATTTAAAAATTAATTCTGTGGTTCTAGCAAGCAATGCACAATGATTAAAAAGCCAAGCTGTGGATAATCATGCAAGATCTGCTTAGAGAAGACAGCATTCACGTGGCTGTGAGGTGGCCCAGATTTGATGAAGATGGCCAGATTTCAGAAGAACATCCTCTAGCAGATAAGACTCCTGCAATGAGAATGAACTAATCAATTTGCCTACTGAGTAGAAAATGAAACACATAAATCCATTTTTATGCAGTTGTTTTCTATCCTGAGAAGTTAAACTGTTGAAGGTACTCTAGGATGCAGGATATAATCCCAGCCTTGCTGCCACATGCCTTTTCTAACTGGCACCCTGAAAGATTTCACAGGAAAAGGGTGTTACTTTGGTACTGTTGATTAAAGGTTATCTGTCACAGTGAGGCAGAGGAGAATTCTCTTCAAAATTCACCTCCTTATTGAAAGCCCATGGAGTGTCTTAGCAATTAACAATTCCTATCACCTCTAGCTGTTCCCTATGTGAGAAGGCTCAGAACTCGCTTACAAATTGCTCTTTTGAAGATCAAAGGAAGCTGAATGTGTCTGTGTGTGTTCGATGAGACTGTAATTTAATGGAATTTTTAGAGAAGGCTTCACTGGCAGTGTTTGGATGACAGCCCGGGGCGGAGGATTCGGGGAGCTTGGCCACTCTTCCCTTTGGAGCATCTTCCTGCCTTTAATTGGCACTCATTAGAAATTAATGAAAATGACATCTCTGTTCTTCCTGCTCTAGGCATCGAATGCTACAAAAAGGCCCATCACAATTCATAACACATTCAATTTATATAGCAATGGCTCTTAAGCATTATTTATGAGATGTGAATTTCTTGTCAGCAGTTAATAACCTGTACAGAATGGAAGGGGAATGGAAGAAAAGATTGCGAATATATATATAAAAAAAAGATTTCTGCAGTAAAGAAGTGCTCTGTTTGAGTTAAACTACCTTCCTGAGTCTTCACTTTCAGTAGTAAATTACTGTGTTTTCCCCCTCTAAAACCTTTCAGGGCAGTTAAATGTCTCTCCAACACTACATGCATTCTCAAGGAAATAACGTACAATTCAACCTTTCCTAGAGAGATCCAAGCAGACGGGCAAGAGAATACAAGAGTTATTTATTGTCAAAGGCAGTCCCAGGTATTTTTAAGGCATGTTCCCATTGCTGTCCTTCATCTTTTGAAGTGTGGCAGTTGACTCAGTCATTTTTCTAGTATATAAGAAATGCTCTGTGTGGCCAAATTGAACTCCTAGCCCTCTCTAGGAAGGCTACCATCTGGAAGGACTGCAGCAAGCTCAAGGCTTTCTTCCCAACAAAAAAGTCAATCTCGCTATAAGGACTCTTAGAATTGGCATAAGCCAAGGGACATGTAGTTAGATGGTTTAAAATCATCTAATGTAGTTAGATGGTTTAAAAAGAATGCACATTTGTGACAAACCCAACAGGCACTTAGCAATCCAGCCTCCTACCCATGAGGGTAAAGAGCATGGCAGAGTAATCGGACTTACCAGAGATCAGTCAAGTTTGCTTTATTTGGGGAAATGTGAAGTTATCTAACTTGTATTTCTCAGTTTTCTTCGGCTGGGTGCTAAGAACTTAGGAAAGTAGGTAGTTTGCATCAAAGTTGAAGGGTAAACTGGCAGATTTGGTTACAAGACCTTTGGATCTCAGCACTAAATTGTGAAATCTCACTGCCTGCCTGACACGGAGAGGAAGCATTAGCCACTGCCAGGGGGCAAGACAGCACATCTGACAAACGACTGCTTGATCTACTATGGCAAATCCTGTTTAATACCCAGGATTCGTTACTTTAAAGAAGAAAACAAGAATAGAAAGTACAGGAAAATTCCACAATTCAATTAGGTACAACCAAAGGCCTATGTTATAAAGCAACAGCCAAAATGGCCAGGTAGGCAACAACAATGGTAATGGAGTGAAGTGCTAAACTCCCCAATAACTCACATGAAGACTAAAGCCAAGTGTTTCAACCGAATCAATTTTAAAATAAATCCATTTATTTATTATTTAGAGACAGAGTCTCGCTTTTGTTGCCCAAGTACAGTGAGTGCTGTGGTGTCAGCCTAGCTCACAGCAACCTCAAACTCCTGGGCTCAAGCAATCCTACTGCCTCAGCCTCCCAAGTAGCTGGGACTACAGGCCTGCGCCACCATGCCCAGCTAATTTTTTCTATGTATATTAGTTGACCAATTAATTTCTTTGTATTTATAGTAGAGACGGGGTCTCACTCTTGCTCAGGCTGGTTTCGAACTCCTGACCTCAAGCAATCCACCTGCCTCGGCCTCCCAAAGTGCTAGGATTATAGGCGTGAGCCACCGCGCCTGGCCAGAATAAATCCTTTTAATAAAGGGATTTTTTTCCTGTGGAGTTTGGATTTGGTCAAGAGTTGTGCTTGGGGATCTGGAGGGCCACATGTGGCCTTGAGGCTGCAGGTTCCCCAGCCCTGTGTGGGGCAAAGTTGGTTAGTCATCAGACTTCAGAGTTTCTTTGACTAACCACAGTATCCCTCCCTGATCTATCTCACCAAGAATTTAAAATTACCTGGCAGGGTTGATCAAAACAGCCCAAGAATAAGGTTCTGATTTACCTGTGCTGTACCACATGCATGAACATAACTAAAGTTTGGAAACTCTGCTGATAGCCTTTGCTCCCACCACTTATCTTAACCCTCTTTACCTTTCCCACAAGCATTTAATAGTGTAACTAAAATGCATTTTTTTAAAAAAATAAAAACTTCTCTGGTGACACCTGGACTCCCTGTGCTGGTCCCTCTCTCTGTAGTTGAATGTACACTTCTAATCTTGTGGAGGACCATACACATCACAGTGTGTAACAAACAGAAATCTGGTCATGACAGGAACAGCAGTTCCAACTTAGTTTCCATGAGACTCTAGTACACTCTCTTCTTCTGTATTTCCAAAAGGACAGATAATTGAGGAACAGGAGCAGCAACGGTTGCCTTTTTAGAAAACAGAGAATTTCCAGTAACTGAGATTTTATAACTGCTGAGTGAGCTATTTAGTCCTGGCTGCCAGCAATAGTACTTGGAGGACATCTCCAGCTATACTAGAAGTGAAAGGGAGCTTCTAAAGGGTACTTCTAAGGATGAAAGACAGGATTCTCAGAGGCTAAAGGCAGGTGTCAAAGTCTGCCTGATAACAGCTCTGTTCCCCAGAACAACTTTATAATATTATATTTTAAAATCAGGAAATAAAAACAAAGACAGAAAACTGTAAATCAGCCTAAAATAATGCAGCTATACAATTTTGTTCCTATGTTGATATATGTGGTCAAGAGGAGAGAAAGCACTGGCCTAAGTTTTGTTCCACTCTGGGTAGGCATAACATTTCAAAACATATATCCCGCCACTATGCCACAATTCTAAGAGGTGGTATTACACAAGCGAATACAGAAGGAAAGGTTACTTTAAAGTTATTTCCAAGTATTAACTGACTGAATGAATTAAGGTTCAAAGAAAACAATTTTCTAATCAAACCTTTATTTAAAAGAGATATGGAGGAGAAATATTCCATTTATCATGAAGAGTAAAAAGCTAATCCAAAATTAATTTAATATCTGAATTTTATGGTGCATAGTCCATAATTTTGCTAGTTTGGTAACTTTCTAAAGTCATGAATGAGAAGGAACCAGAATAAATGGTGGGGAGCAGTTACTGAAAGTAGTGAGCAGTGACAATGTAACACTAATGAAATATGTGTGAGAGGAGTTGGGAATGTTTTTGTCTTTTTTGTATGTGTAAGAAGAAATGATGGGTGTTCAGAAGCAAGAATTCTGTGCTCCTGATTTCTCAAGCTCCAAACGAATAGCACGCGGTGCTATAGCAAACCTATCTACAATACTCAGGAGATGAATGAAGGACTTCAGCCACTTAATTTCCAAAGCTGGGCCAGGGTGTTAGGGACATAGTCTCCATCATGCCATTGGGGGAGAGGCTTACCACAGCGACATGATCCCAATTCCTGCTGCACCAGCTCCAGTTTGGTTTGGCACTGGAAGCACCGACGTCGACTCTTCTGTTTAGATCGGCTGGTTTCCTCAGACCGTTCAGTATTCTCCAGTAGTCGTGGCCGTTTTACTGGCGAAGCCTCATTCTCAGACTGTGAATCTGACCGAAACAACACATTAGGGGATACGGATTAGCGTACTAATTAATGTACTGCCAGGCATTCGTCTGACCAGGCCACTCTCCTTGTCTGGGAAGGAACTGGACCCATGTAAGCAAGGGAGCCGTTCTGACTTGTTTGGTTTATACTGCACAAACTGTGACAGGCATGTACCTTTACTGTTGACTTCTAAACAAGCTGGGCTTGAGCTGGAGAGGAGAGGAGGGTGGGAGTGGCTCAAAAAAACCCGAGTTCTACGCTGTTTTAAAAAAATAGCTAAGTTTTCATAAGGAGACCACTCCAGCTAGAAATGGAATCCTGTCTTTGTCAGTACCCCCTCAATGGGCCCTAGATGTTTACTGCTTATAGTGGTCATTTACCTCTTCTTGGGTATTTGCTTATCCTCGAGTAGACTGCAATTCTTTAGAGAATGGAACATAATCTAATGCGTCTTTTTTATCACAATGCTTTCATAATTCCATACTAAGCCAGTGTTTGATGGGTGATCCATAATCTTTTCCAGTAAAATTACTCACATTTCTACTTCTAAACACTCAAGAATGAGGTTTTAATACTGAAAATTAGTCTAACTTTGTTCAGAGTGAAGGGTCCCCCCGCTTGTTCACAAGCAAGCTGTCCCATGGCCTCCACTGTGGGGTAGTACAGTGGCAGGACCTGGCACCAGCACCTGGCACCTTGTAGTGGTGACAAAATGGCAGGTGGAAGGTGGTTAATTGTATGACAAATTGTCTTATGTAACTTCAAAAAAGTAATTAAAATGCAATAAAGTTCACATCACAGCCAGGCTGTAAATGACTCTTGCCTTCCAAAACAGGGCAGCACTCAGGGGCTCTGTACTCCTGGATTAGCTGCCACTGCATGCTGAGGATGTAACTCTTGCCAAAGTTCCAAATAGTTTCTTTAAATAACCTCTAGAAGAGAGTCTCCTAAATGATCATCTTCAAAATCATCCAGATCCTACTACTTCTCATCCCTCCACCACCCCTACCCTGGTCTAAGCCATCACCCTTTCTTCCAGCCTAGTATAAGAGCCTCTTAAGTCATCTCCCTGCTCACCACCTTGCCCCTGCAGTCTATGCTCCAAATAGCAGCCAGGTGATCCCATTAAAAATCAAGTTAGAATTATGTTACTTCCCTGATCAAAATCCTCTAACAGCTCCCCTTCTCAGAGTAAGAGTCCCAGTACTTACTATGACCCTCAGTGCCCCACATGATTTGTCCTCCCCTTACCTCCTGCTGCTTTCTCCTGTCTCTCCGTCTATACCAGCTCCTTAGTATCTCCTAACTCTGGGCCTTTGGACCTTCTGCTTCCTCTGCCTAGAACACTGTTCATCCAGATCTACATGGGATCTTCATCTCTTTTAAATCTTTGCTCCAAAGTCACATTTTATTTTCTTTTTTTCAGTTTTATTTTACAAGGTCATATTTTCAATGGTTTCTTCCCCGATCATCCTATCTATACCACCCAATCTCCCATCCCTAGCACTTCTCCCTTTTCTTGCTTTATATTTTTCCATAGCGCTTATACTTAACATTATCCCCTAGAAGAATGCAAACTTCAAGAGGGCAGGAAATTTCACCAGCTTTGTTCACTGACATGCCCTCCATGGCTATAGCTCAATAAATTTCTTGAATGAATGAATCTTCTCCTAGGCAGTCCTGATTTTCTATTTACAGTGGCTCTAGTGAGAAGCCACAGCTGTAGCATGCTGTCTGTGTGCCTTTCTCCAGCCTCCCTGTGTGTGAGGAAGATGCTGCACTTCACCCACCACTGCCCACTCACACTGACAGCGATGATGGTTTGCTCACAACCCGCCAGCCCCACTGCACTGCACACTGGCATACAGAGGCCCTGCACCATTCTTAGCAATTGTAAACTTCATTTTTCATCTCATTTAATTCCTGCAGTCCTACATGACATTTTCCCCCAATACAAACCAACTAAATAAGGCCTTTGAAAACAACTGAAACCAAGTTTAGCCTATTTCCCAGCTCAGCTGAGCAAAGTTGTCCAAACCCAGTCTGTGTGGTGACCGAGGCAGCCACAGACACAGCAGGCCCCCTCCTCCTTTTTCTAGAAGAGCAACAAGCAACAATCTAAATGTAAATCATTACCAAGCAGCTAGCCAAAAGGAATTCACCTTGTATGAGCCACAGTGCTCTCTGGGGGGCGGGGAGGCGTCATTTTACACAAACCAGCAATTGTACTATTTGTATTAATAATCCTGTTTAAGGCATACCTTTTTTTTTTCTTGTAACAAAAGAAAATTCTAGAGTAAAAGCATAACAACAAAAAAAAAAATGATACTTGTTCTGAGACAAGGTCCTACATGTGAAACATCCTTAGAAGAAGCTATTCCCTGGGGCTGGGTGTCAATACAAGAAAGGGAGGCAGTTAAGGCCTTTTCATCATTAAGATGGCTAAAATCTGGAGGGCTTTGGCATGATGCCAGCACATCTCTGATGTAAAAGAGGACCACTCAGATTCTGAGCTTCTTTCATTCACACCTCTGATAGAACTGTCTGGAAATGCAGAGTTCACATTCAAAGCTCCTTCCACATGATTCTGTTCTAAACTATCAAATGTTCTATCTACTTGCAAAGCACCTGCCTCCATTTCTAAAGCACAGCTTTGCTGCAAGGAGAAGACAATTTAATTTCAATGTGGCAATAGAGCAGGAAAAAAAGAAGAGAAAAAAGAATTTCAGTTTAACTTTGCTATTCATAGGCTAACTATTTTCAAATAAGCAAGGGAGTGAGATGTGAAGAAAATTTTTTCAACGTATGATTCCTATGATTGGGGAGATGGAATTCATATTTACATTATCTTAATTGGTCATCAATCATCCCCTTGATGGGACCCCCAAAAGTCAGGAGGCCTGTCCATTCCTGATCGCTTTTCCTCTTAATTCCCCACCTTATCTGACCAACACTTGTTCAATAACAATAACAACTCTAAGGAATAAGTCTACATGGACCTGTGCTGAAATATTCCTTTAATCATTCCACATTAATATAAAGACCACTGAGTTGTTTGTTCTGGCAGGCTAGGCATGGGATATTCCTGAATAATGGGTCCTAAGGGAGGTTTCTAACGCTGCCACAGCATCTGGCTGCGCTGCATTGGCCATCCTAAAAGAACACCACTGAGGCCTAGTCAGTCCTCTGAAAGTCCATGTCCCAGCATCCATGTATAGAAAGTCTGAGCTACAGGAAGCAGTCCTTGATGATTCTAAACCAAGACAGATAAAATGTCTGAAAAAGTGTGTTATTTTTCAGAAGTAAGGAACTATTCCCAAACATTAAGAGATTCACAACTTTTAAGCTCTGAAATATGCCCATTTACCCTTCCCTCAGTTGATATTCTATCAGATGCCCTCTAATGGTCCCTACCACAACAAGAGAGGAGAAATAAGCTCCCCAAACGGTTTACCATCCTCCACATGCTGCCTTCCAGGAAGTTGATTGTGTTATATATAATTTCTTGGAGAAGCAAGCCATTCTTTGGCATTTTCTCACAAGCCAACTTTGTGTTTTAAGTAGAAGCTAATGAAGTAAATAACAGTCTATAGGATCATCATAGTCAGCACAAGAAATTTATATTTCCTCTGCTAATTACCTAATGAAATCTTGTGCCATAAGATGAGTTGCCTAAATAAGAGAAACATGTCCAGGGCAAGGATTCTAATTATATGATAATGAACTAAATAATTCAACTATTCAAATTATAAGTTTTATGTCAATTAGAAAAAGACTATCAGAAAAAAAAAAGATCCAAATATCTTTAAAATTAAAGTAACCATCTACTTTCCATAATGAATAAACTTTGATTATTTATTTTTTGCTCACAAATATCATTCCTGTTACCTTGAAGCATTTTTTATTTCCTCAACAATGACAGGAAACACCTAATAGTCTACTTGCATGCTCTGAACTAGGGCAGTAAGGGTTAAATATGGAGAGAAAGGTGAACAGAAATAACTCTTATATGCAGCTCTAACTGTCAAAAGAACGGAGTCCTTGCAAGGAGCATGCTCATTAGCAGCGGGAGGAGCTGCCATGGCAAAGCCAGAAACTGCTCCCACCCCAGGAGGTAAGAGTGACTTCTAATTAAGGTCCTTCACAAAGGGCCAACAAAGCAGATTTTTTTCCAGTATGCCTTTTCTTAAGAACATAATCTAGTCTGGATATACCCACGCAGAGCTGTCACACTCCCATGCCAGGTTCACAGCTCTTGGTACTCACCAGACCCCCCCTCCTCTTTCTCTGTAAATGTTTAACAGAATAAGAAAGATATCGCATTGGCTCTTCTAGTACAGCAGTCCCCAACCTTTCTGGCACCAGGGACTGGCTTCATGGAAGACACTTTTTCCACAGGGAGCAGGGTGGAGGTGGCGATGGGGAGCAGCTGTAGGGGCTGTAAATACATATGAAGCTTCCCTCGCCTGCTGCTCACCTCCTGCTATATGGCCTAGTTCCTAAGTTTCATGGAAGACAATTTTTCCACAGCGTGTCAGGTGGGGAAAAAGAGGCGGCATCAGAGTTCAGGTGGTGATAGCCCAGTTCCTAACAGGCCACTGACCGGGTACTCTGTTGGGGACTGCAGTTCGAAAAGTCTGATCACAAATCATAATGTGATTAAATAAGGAAGGATTATCTTAAGAAAAAGTATCTTGCCTATTAGCTTTCTTGGTATGAACATAACTACTGCTTGATTTGCGAAAGAGAAATAAGTACTATATAGTTGCCCCTCAGTATCCTCAGGGAATTAGTTCCAAGGTCCCCCCACATACCAAAAGCCAAGGATGCTCAAGTCCCTTATATAAAATGGCATAATATTTGCATATGACCTAAGCACATAATTCTGTATACAGCTGACCCTTGAACAATGTGGGTGCTTGGGGTGCTGACCCCTTGCACAAAAATTTGCATACATTAAATAACTTTTGACTGCCCCCAAACCAAACTACTACAAACAGCT